CAGGATTTTTTTTTAAATAGAGTAAGGTAGGATTAATGTACAGAATTTCACTTGTACAGTTTTATTATAATGGATAGATATAGATAATTATCGTCAGGCATATTAAAGTAAAAAATACCGGTGTCGGTTATATTCGCGTGAATATACTGAGAAAAGCTGTATAAGTTTCGAGTCACAACGGGACTCTTTCTCGTGGGCAGCGTGCGCGGTATTGACGTGAGTAAACCGATATTTTTAATTACAAAATGAAGGTAGTTTTGCGTGCCGTGCGATTTAATCAAAAAGAAGAGTTTGCTTGCAGGATATTTCAGGGGCGATGCTGAGTAGAATACAATCTCAAAAAACAAGACAACATAATTATTTTAGTGGATGGATAATTCCAATTCGTTATTTGTATCTTTCTAGATAGATATCTAAGAATATGGTTGACAGATTTAACAGAAAGAGACATGTCAGTTTTTGTAAAAATATTTATTATATTCTTAGATAAACTTAATATATGTATAACTTAACAACAACGTGTACATAGTGGATTGAGTTGTGAGAATCACGTGACGTGTACGGGCGCGGGCGGGCTCTCCCGCGCGGAGTTACTCCCGGCGGAGTTACTCCCGGCGGAGTTACTCCCGGCGGAGTTACTCGCAGTGGAATGACTCGCGGCGGAGTCACTCGCGGCGTAGGTTGTCGAGGCGAGCCTGCAGCTCCGCATCCGCGTCCGTAACGCCGGCGCCGCCGCCGCCGGAGCCGCCCGCGACCGCGACCGCCGGCGCCGCCGGATTTTTCGCTGCAATAACGTGTAAACGTAAGTACTTGCGCCTCTCTCGTTTGTGGAGTATGCAGTGAACCAATGAGCGCGGCGTACTGACCTGCGACGGAGAGCGAGCCGGTAGCCTGCGGCAGCCCCGACAGCGTGTCGTTGAGCTGCAGGCCCAGCTCGTCCAGGATCTGCGACACCACCTGGTCGCTGCAACAACACAATCATGTACTAACGTGCTGTTACCGTTATCTGGATATACATACGTATGTATATGCAAATAACGGTGAATAGGTACTATTTTAAGACATTTTTGGGGTAACATCAAATGTATCTCCAGCTATTTCCCCCCACCGGCTAGCCGACAGCGTGGCGACTGCCAGCCGCCTGATTGTATGTACATTTCTCTTTATGTCTAGCGCGATGCAACTAGCAGCAAGGACTGACCTCTCCTCCTCGTCATCGTCGGCCGCCATGGCCTCGTCGATGGAGTCGCTCATCATCTCCTCCTTCATGTCCATTATCTCCGACTGTTTCTCGAACTCCTATAACGAGACAAGATACGTGAGGCGCGCCAGTGACGCAGACAACAGACGGTAGTGGCAATGGGCCGGTACCTGCAGGATCTTCTGTATCTGTGGCATGTTGAGTTGCCGGTTCATGGTGGCCATGGCGCGCGTGACGCCGCGCATGGCCTGCGCCATCGTATTCTGCGACTTGAGGGTCTGGATCTTGAGCGACACTGCCTGGATGTTGGCCTTCATCAACATGAACTTGCGCACGTACCGCCGCGTGCGCACCAAGTCCTTTGCCATTATCTTCACTGCGTCCTGCGCAACACGATACATGCTTACGAATACTTTCAGCAGCAGCAGCATCAGTAGTAGTATTTTATATAAACTGTACTTTGTTTACAAATCAATAAATTCATCAGAAATTTGGAACACAACTAGAGAGTGCTCCAAGTTTATCCATTCGTAAATGTTACTTAATTACGAAAATAAATTTGTGAGGTTCTGAAACCGCTCTGCACAACTCACCATTTGGCCCTCCTTTGCCAATTTCTTGATGTCATTGATGACCTTCTTCTCCTGTTGTTCCATCTTCATGCGCTCCCTGTCCAGGTCCCGCATGGCCTTATTGAGTGCGCGCTGGTTTTTGCGCAGCATCTCCTCCGGAGTCATCCGATGTCCAAATAACCACTCCATTATCTTGAATGTATTACTAGAACTGGAATTATAAGTACAGAGTACTGTCAGTGCCGGATTAAGCCAGCGCGGGGCCTGTAGCAAATTCTGTCTAGGGGCCCTTGGTTTGCTATCGGTTCTCAAAAGGGTATTAAGTAAAACAAAAATAAACTTTTCTGGATTTGTTATGGGCAAGTTTAGCGATTACACTTTCAATATCGACTTCTTTATGCAAGTCATGCTCTATATTTAACATTGTGAGATGATTAAGACGTTCTTGGCCCATAGTGTTCCTTAATTCATTTTTGATTCGTTTAATTCGGGCTCGGTTCGCCCGCCAATGGCACCAACCAAGCGAACAAATACCTACTAACTTTCCTTTTCTTATACAAAATACCGACTATTTGTCTTTTTTCGTTTATTTCGTTAAGAAAAAAATCAAATTACTTGTAGTTTGGTAGTAATTTTGTAAATAAAACATTTTCTTCATAAGTCTTGCTGTTGAAGTGGTGTAATTACGAAATACCTATTTGAGCGCGGGGCCCTCCAATTCGCGGGGCCCGTAGCATTTGCTACTCTTGCTACGTGGCTAATCCGGCAGTGAGTACTGTACTTATTTAATCGACAATCTTAATTAATGTATTACATTACACACTACTGCGTGTAATGTATTATATGTGTGTAATGCATAGATTAATGTATGCAGTCTCGTTATGTCTTGTCATGTATGCAGTCAGATTAACTAGTATGCAGTCTTGTTGCATGGTTATGATGGTACATCTACTTACACTTGAATGTATTATGTTTTTACATTACCAAAATATGTTATCAAGGAAAATTAAAATTCCCATGCATTTTTTTTAACATGTTTATTTACTTTTCTATTCATGTTTTTATCTGTTGTAGTGTACACAAATACTTGTTGTTTAACAAAGATCCATCCAGACAGCGGGAGAACCCGAAGAGTTCATCAAATTGATTTTGTTACACCCTGTATTCACTGAACAATAAATTCTTTATTCTTTTAATGCAGGCTACAGTTTTTTCGCTCATCGGATGGAGCTAATGTAAACCTCTTGTCTTTTCGTCTAATAGGGAAAAGTCAGTGTCACTCCGTTGGTTATTATTAACCTCATGGCACTGCTACAGTGATTGGACAAACTGACCTCTTACTAAATTAGCGCCAAATTACTAAAAAGCGATGTTAAAAAAAAAGGTAGCCTACATTGCACTTTTTTTAAGGACGGAAAATCAGCGATTCACTGTTCCCGCCTGGGTAAGGTGGGAGGGAGTGTCAGACTCTTGACTGACTAAAAACCCCGCCCCGTTCCTATACCTGGCCTTCGAGCCGGAGCCCCGGTAACCCGTTAGGTTCTCCACGACTAGCCTCCATTGCACTACAGTTACAACTTGTTTTACACAATTGTTACAATGGAGAGACTGGTGTCTGTCAAAGGTAGAACCTGTGTTACTATATTTGTGTATGGGAGGTATGTATGTCCTGAAAATTGCAGACTAATTTTTAGTTTTCATCAGTTTAACTTTGGTTGAGTAACCATCACATTGCTTTTATTTTTCTCATTAGATTATCACAATTCGAATTTTTCAAATTATAAAACTTAACATAATTTAAGGTAATGTAATGTAAGTTACAAGTGAGTGAAAGGTAAAATAATTTTGATAGGGACTTTATTCTAGTATTCACTGAAGAATTATTGGTCAGTGAGAATCGCAGATGTCAATTTTCAAAACAGTACATCAATATCAAATCTTAGGCTTAGAGAAAGCCAGCTGGCAAGCATTATATATATCTTACAAATAGAAAGACCATTTACCTGATAAATGTGTAAATACAGCGGAAGCCTAAAGATATTTGGAGTGATGATTCACCATCCCAGGTTAAGGTTAATCACTAAGCTAGACTGCCTAGACTAGAAACATTTATACTATGTTCCAATTAATTAAATCAGTATAAATTTACAAAATGATAAAGTTTAATTAAAATCCAGGTATAAAATTATTAAATGTACTTAATTGTATACTACTGTTTACTGACAAAAGTGACATTGGAGAGTTTAATTAATTGTCAAAATTGGCATTGCTAACAATGAGACATTGTCAACTTCTCAATTTTTTTTTCTTAATTGACTTCTCAATGGGGATGATGACAGGGTATGAAAATTAAAAATATAATTAGTCCGTAACTTAGGTAATAAAAAAATATTAGACACGTATTTTTTATTTTGTTGTATAATAAAACAATACTTAGATAAAACGAATCAAAGTTTAGGAGTGGGGGCTAAAACGTCATTTCTTAGTATAAAATGTACTGAGAAGTGACGTCACGCGACATTTCAAATCAATATATCTTCGAAACTATTCGTTTCCGAAAATAAAAAATACGTGTCTAATGTTTTTAAATAATCTACCAGACGGACGTTAAAATAAAAATTAGTCGTCTACCCTATTGTCTTTTTGCTATGGTGATGTGGTTAGATGGGCTAGGCCTTTGGCAGTTCAGGTTCACAGCTTTAGTAATGCTGTGTGTGTGATAGATTAATTCTATTTTTTACTATTAAATTATTCCATTACCCCGGTGCAATAAACACAACAATAATACGTCTAGTGTCGCAATCGCTTTTACTTCTCTTCCATCTGTATCTGGAACATGGCTGCAAGTGAGAAAACCAAACGTGAGACAATGCCAAGATTAGTAAGATTAATAATTAAATGTACATGCATCTACGGCATAGACGTATTATTCATCTATGATCTACGGTCATCGCCGATGATCAAAACTGTCTAAATCAAAGTTTTAATTACATAGTATCTCTACGTAGTCTGTAAAAAATCACATAAAGTAGTCTGTGCTCCGTGGTTTTAATCTTTTAATTTCAATTTCATTCATAGCAACCATTAGCTAATCAACTGCAGAGTATAGATGTATTACAAATTATCTATGTATTCGACTGAAAGACATGTATCTACCTACGGTCATTAAAAAGTCTACATGGGTACTCAACTGTCACTGCACTGTCAGTGTCTGTCTGTCTGTCAAATATTGCAAAATTTCATCTCGTTTGATCTTGTCTCGTTGCCGTTTGTGTAAACAAAGTAAACTAACCATAATTACTTTTTTTCTTCGCTTGTCAATTATTATAAACACTTAAGCAAGAAACGGAAACAAAAAAAAATCCCTTGGTTTTATAATGAGTGATAACGAGATTGCAGTTATGGAAGTGGATGAAATCCCGCCAAAACTTTCAAAATCACAAGAATCCCAAGTGGCAACAACTAGTGCTAGTGGTTCTAAATGTACTTCACATTTGCCATGGATAGAGAAGTACCGGCCGATTGTATTCAGTGACATCGTGGGAAACGACGATACAGTGTCGAGGTTAGCAGTGTTCGCCAAATCGGGGAATGCTCCTAACATAATAATCGCCGGCCCGCCAGGTGTAGGGAAAACTACGACAATCTTATGTCTGGCACGCGCATTGCTCGGCACCGCTTTCAAAGACGCAGTACTTGAGCTCAATGCATCCAACGACCGAGGCATCGACGTCGTGCGTAATAAGATCAAAATGTTCGCACAACAAAAAGTAGGTTGCGCTATACATATTAAATAGATAATTGTTACTGTCCACTCCACTGGCGAACTCACACAATCATAATTAGAAACTACTAGATAGTGGCCTTCCCTGGTTTCACTCGGTTCCCTTTGGGTAACTAATAAGTCAACATAAACAATATTATTAAAATTTTCAATACAATACAATACAATACAATAGAATTTTTGGGCAAAATTAAAACACAATAATGGGGTTGTTCATCAAACATATATTTTTCTTTATTTACAGTATTATATAATTTCAACTATATATTCACTTTAAATTTGTGTTTAAACTGATTTTTTAATTGACTGCACGGTTGGCATGGTGCCTGAGCAACTGGCTGCCGCGCACCGTGTCGCGGGTTCGATTCCCGCACGGAACAACTCTTTGTGTGATCCACAGATTGTTGTTCCAGGTCTGGGTGTCATGTGTATGCGATATTGTATGTTTGTAAACACACCCACTACACAGGAGAAAATCTTAGTGTGGGGCAACGTTTAAAAAAATAAATAACTGATGGACTGAAAAAAATTTTTATATGTATTAAACTGTCAAACACTGAGCGGTCACCGGTGACCGCAACCTATTGTTCTTTAATTGTGTCTATAATGACGGTACTCAACGAGTTAATCTTGTTAATATGTTAAC